TCAGCAATCAATCAATCTTAATTTGTAGAGTGATTTTCCCACACAGGATAACACAAAGCGCTTCACAGTCTACATCACACAAGGCACAAATCATCAATTAAAACAAATAAAAAAAATCATAATTAAAAACAAAAATTAAAATCACACAAGTAGTTAAAACATATACATTACACAATGGATTAAAATAATAACAATGAATTAAAAATAGATTCAGTTGTACGCACAGGCAAACAGAACTGCCTTTAACCTGGACTTGAACATTGCCAGAGAAGAAGCCTGTCTCACATTTTCAGGAAGACTGATCCAGATTATAGCTGTATAAATCTGAAAACTATGATTGTTACGATTTGAAAGTTATGGTACCCCAGCTTTAGGGCAATAAGGCAGGTTGCATGTTCACCTTGTGCCTAGTTGAGATTTGTATTTGTATTCCACTGGCTCATATTGACAGACAACAAGAGGGAAAAGATGCTGTTGGAAAAAGAAGTGGATGGACATTGGACAATAAAAAAAAAAACCTTTATAGTTTTAATCATAAAGTGAACATAAATACGGACGTGACAGACAAAAAATAGAAAGGAAAAAAAAAGGAAATAAGAAGAAAAAATGAAAAATAAATAGTTTTAAATAACATAACATAATAATAATAACATAACAAACCATGTAATATTTATATAATTTCCCCATGTCAATCATTTTTCAACATTTCTATAAAATAAAAAGACAAAGCAACTCAATATGTGTTCCAACATGTATCCTGATAGAACTCACCAGTTTTCACCAAGAATCTAAAATCACATATTCACAAAAATATGCAGAACTATGTAAAGTGGAGCACCTTTTCTGTTTCAGGTCAAATGAAGTCTTCTGTGCGTAGGAGCGTGGACCAAAAGCAGAGCCGTTATAATTCCCATGTGTGAGCTTATGTAAACTCTCTGTGACACTTGAGATGTCAAAGGATAAGCATATAAAACAGGACAGCTTCGCAGGCTTTACACGGCTTCAAAACAGCACTCAGGCGCCCCCTGCTGGCACAGACTCGGTACTACCATGGCAGAACCTACACAGGAGGGAATGGTGAAGAAGACAACGTTACACATACATACATAGCAAGACACTTTCTATTTTTCCTTACTTACTTACTTTTCCTAATCATTTCCCCCACTCTCTTCCCTGTGTGTTAAAAAATATATACATAACAAGCAAATCATAGATAATAATAGTAATGAAGAATAATGCAATAGTAAGAACAAAACACTAAGCAAAATGACGTACAAAAACAATAAAGGAGACACAGAAAAGCAAACAAAAACATCAAAAGCAGTAGATGTATATACTTGAGATATGATTATATATTTATATCTCATGTATGACATCACACATATTCAATAAAATAATAGTTTAATGTATATTAGTTTCTCTTGTCATCCTCTACTGCACTTTCTACTGTCACGATTCACATTCTTCCAACTGCATCTTTTACTTCTTGTCTTGAATTTCCTTTTTTTAATTACAGTTTTAGATACATTTTGTAACTCAGCACTGATTACTGCGATGCAAGTTTAGTGAAAAAACAGAGAAACGGAGAAAAGTGTTTGAAGAGGTACAAATAAACAAAACTACCTATGTAATAAAATCCTTTAAAATAGTTCTTTGATTTCAGGCTTGGTTTTCACTTGCAGATATTTTTGGCCTCTGTCACATTTTTAGATCAGCTTTTACTGATGAAAAAGTGACAAAAAGTGAAAAACAGAGAGCCAACTAACCCAAGGCTCATTCTTATAAGTTTGCAAAAGATAATAATGTGAGGACAGCATGTTTTGGTCTGATTTGTTCACATTTCACTTTTAAAAGATTCTTTCTGTTGGCAAAAAATGTACCCAGCTTTAAACAACCATTGATAGAATTTTTCCAATATTCTTGAAAACAAGGAAGCCGCTTGGACTTATTTATTTTTGTTTTTCAGGAATAATGGAGTCAAAAGGTCAATATTTCTCAATATTGTGCAATTAATCCATAAAAAACAGTTGAGGTCAATTTAATAACTCATAAATCTATCAAAGTATCTCACAGTGTTTGTTTTAGCTTCCATACGCACACACTTATCACTTGGAACAAAGATTGGGCCCAGTTTGTATCACAGTAGGTTATAAAGCATCAGTCAGGGTGATAAAGTCTCTCAGCCATAACTTCTAAACAGAGTCAAATGATGAATATGACTGAGGCGGACAGATTTAAGACTACATCTCAGAGTGAGTTACGTCATCTGCTTCACACCACAACAGCCCTACAGCTCCCTGGACAACAATCAGAGAGATATGAAAGACTGCAGATGATTGTGGGTGATTGTGCGCCTGACTCGCACAATCACCCCAAAGCAGCGCTCACTCTCCCTCTTACCTGTTTTTTAATATAGTTGTAACTAGTTAACGCAAGGAAATGTAAAAGTATCTGATGCAGAATGGATTAAATGTATTGAATGGTAAAGTGCTGTGTGGTTGATAGAGAATGGATAGATGCACTTATATATTGTATTTTGTCTGGTTATTTATTCTGGTGCAGAACATATCTGTCTGTCTCTGATGTCTCTGTACACTGCCCCTTCAATAAAGAGGAATAGTAAATCGAAAGGGCAATCCTCCAGGAGCAGTGGTCGCTGGAGAGGTTGATGCTCGACTTGATTTGACTCCATGTTTTGGGGAAACCACTGGAGTCGTTGGAGGACAGCTTTGTGACTTCAGGTCCGTCCTCAAGTGAAGTTCAATGATCACAGAGTAAAGGAAGGATCGAGCAATGTGATCTCTGTTCTGAGGGAGAGAGGGAGTGGAAAGGCAAAGCTCTCCATTTACCACTGAGTCTACCTCCCACCCTCACCTGTGGGCTGTGCAGCTTTGGGGAGTTACCCAAAAGGATATCATATCAGACACAAGAAAAAAATATGTTCCCAAAAAATATGTTCCCTCATTTTGATGCGCCCTTAGATATATCGAGTAGCTCTGTCACATGAACCAAGCTTCCAAACAACCACATCATCGGGGAAATCAAACAATAACTGTAACCATTTGTCAGTTGTAACATTCACCAACTGAAGCCATAAACAAAAAAGTCTGTTGTCAAACATTATATATAGATAGAAATATTGAGAAGTGAAACAGGTTGAACAATTCTGCGTTTCCTTGTTTTTCTGAAGCGTTGCCTTGGATTAAATCAGAGCTGACAGTGTGAGATGAAAACAGTCTGAAGTGTTCAATCATTCAATAATTCTCCTTCACAGCCTTCCTCCCCCGTGGAAGGAGCTCACAGCAGAATCTAAATGAGGGAAAGCAGCTCCACTTCGTCACTATCAAAATATCGAATCGCTGTTGAAACCATGAGGTCTGGGTTGTCATAAGACATCAATCCATCAATTAAATTCAGTCATGTATTATTGTATAAACATTTTTTGTGTCTTAACTGTTGATTCTCTGATCTGTGTTGGTGATTTCAATGGTTTTGTTAAGTCCTCTGAGATGACTGCTGTTGTGATTTATGGCTTCACAAGAATAACTTGTTGTTGCTGTTGTTGTCGTTGTTGTATAGCCCTAAAAAAGTATGTAAGTAATGTTTATTTTATGTAGCGCATTTACAGGAATCAGATATTGTTCCAATCCTTCCACACAGTGTGACAGTCACTCTGTCATTTACATTCATATCTATTGTGTATGTTTTTAGTGGTAGGGGGAACCGTAGCACCCGGAGGAAACCTACCCAGACAAGGGGAGAACAAGCAAACTCCACTCCAGAAAGGCCGTGTAACGACCGGGATTCGAACCAAGGACCTTCTTGCTGAGAAGCGAGAGTGCTAAACCCTCAGCCACTGTGCTGCCCATATAACAACAGTAGTTATCACGGCAGACATACAATTATATAAAAAAAAACACAAAAAACAGAGCCATAAATACAGCCTGATCTTACCACACCATTATACTCATTTCATTTTGTACATGTAGAGAAATGATAACTGACCAGAGTTTATAGAGGACTAAGGCCAGGCTGGTCCATAAGGGGGAAACTCTCAAACATCAGCAAACATACAGCTCCTCACAAAGTATGCTCCGTCAAAAGAATCCTCTTCCATCCAAGTTTCTATGTCGTGTTTTTTGCACTTCTCAAACCTGATCTCAACAAAGACGGTTCTTTCATCTGCCGTGACTCAAACGACTCGGTGACATCTGCTGTCTCCAACCAAACAACGAGGAACCTTTTGATTATCTTTTTCAACAAGAGAGTTTGATGTAGTTTGACTTCTCTCCCTGTGATGCAGTCATGTCAAACTCAGGTCCGTGGGCCAAATCCGGCCCGCCAGACCATTTTTAGTGGCCCTTGAAATGATTTTTGAAGATGTTTTTCACAGTAACTTAGAGAATTGCTGGTAATGGACTACTGTGGCATGTTATATTTAGTTTGCCCAATGTCTGAAGTCTATTATCTCAGGAAAACAAAACATAATATTGAATCTGTTCAAAAATATATATATCAGTCTTCATCTCTTCTTGATATTTAGCCAGTCATGGTTGATGCCTATAACATCAAAACTTGTGTTATAGTAATTCATGCTTATTAATATAGCTAATTTTTACAGACCAAGGTCAACCAAAGCGCTTTACAATGTTCAGAGTTCAGATGTACCACGGTGATGAAGGAAGCGAGACGCCGAACACATCCCAACCAACACCATTCATTCATTCACTCATTACATTCAGACCTGTTGTACATGTTTTTAGTGGTAGGGATAACCGGCGCACCAGGAGGAAACCTACACAGACGCAGGGAGAGCAAGCAAACTCCACTCAGAAAGGCCCTTTTCCGACCGGGATTCAAATATTCTTGCTGAGAAGCGAGACTGCTATCTGTTCAACCACCGTGTCGCCCACAAATGAAATGCAGTCAATTTGTAAAAGGACAAATAGAAGTAAGTATTTTTCTTTTATAATCTTTTTTATGCGTTTAAATTTGCCCCTTCAACAAAAAATGAGCCACGCCCCCCACCCGACCCCAGTCTCTGTAACGTTGCCGGCTGCTTCCCATGCAGAGCTGCGGCGTGTTCCCAGCTGTGTGGCACATCTGTAGAAGTGCGTTTCCTGTGACTCGTGCTGGTTTCCCAGGCTCACTGTGCTCTCTGCTCTGTGGCCGTTATCTAATCCCAGACCTGGACTCGTTCATGTGGACGTCAGCACTCGGCGGCGTGTGGAGTGTGCATGTGAAGAGGCCATTTCCTCCGTGAGCTGCTGCTGATAGAGACGACAGGAGGAGGCCAGACCACATCACGCCAAAGGGATGTCATGATATAAGTTCTTAAGGCGGATCCGTGGTGCTGGGGTTAGCGAGTGTGCTTCACAGTAAGAAGGTCCTGTGTTTGCATGTTCTCCTTGTGTCTGCGTGTAGGTTTCCTCAGGGTGCTCCGGTTTCCACAACCACTAAAAACATGAGAAGTAGTCCCCCATGACCCCCTCCTCAACCTCACCCCTGCCCCCGGTCTCTGACTCCCCTGAAAGATATTCTGCAATCTCAGTGGGACATTCCTGCTTAAATAAAGGTCAATAAACAATAATAATAGTTTTTGGTTTGATCTTCATCTAAAACCAACAGAATGGTACAGTGCTTGAAATAACATTAAAGAAGAAATAGTGTGATTTTTGATTGAAAATGACCATGATTTTGACTTTGTAAATCCCTGTTTTAGAATATGAAATAATACATAATATATGAAAATCTATGTCAGTCGAAGTAGAACATATAGAGTGAGTAAAGGATAAAAAAAAGAAAAAAGAGGATAAAATATGTTGCCGAATGTGAGTCTCTACGTGGAATTGATCAATATATTTTTTCACATTTTCAATTACCTGCAGCAAAGAAAGTCAATTCACGTGAGAATTTTCCAACACAAATGTATAGCCAAACTTTTTGTTTTAAAAAATGACTTCAAAACTTGAGAGACCTCTCAAAAGAATCAAAAGAACCATCTCAATTTCACAAAGAGTGAACGCACACAGCTGAGGAAGTGATGAAGTTTGTAGTTTTTTAACTCCAAAGACATTGGTCAAAATGATTGGAGACAACGTGAGCTTTGGTCTGGGTTACAGTATCCACTACTTTCTTCTGAACTACGGATCATTCACTATTAATGAAAAAGAAGTGTTGTACTGCAGCTTTATGATTGTTTGAAACATGCTTCCCCCTGGCACAGTGAAGTTGTCAACCCCTGTAAATACCAGACCATGAGAAAGAATCTGTGGTTGGATGATACTTTTGCAGGTATAATTACTCCAGATTCCGCAGCAGCATTTACCAGCTGCAATGTACTTCTGTAAAAATGATCCTGTGCGCCACTGTTACCATAAATGTGTAGAGTCATGGGGGTTCTGTATGCTCTTGTTCATACGCTGCTCTGTCATCCGCTCAGCGAGGTTCACTTCCAAACGTTGGAGTCAGTGGCCTGAGTCTCTGCATGTGACACACGAGCTGTTATAAATACTAGAAAACATGTAAATATTATGTGTGTTCTTTCCACTGCTTTTTTAAATTAACATTTCCACAACAAATCCAAAGCCTTTATTGTCATATGCAGGCTATAGATCATGTGCCTGGATATGTGTCCTTAATAAAGTCAAAATAAACAGATAAAATACAAAAATATACATATCAGAATCAGGAAAATATAGAGTTAGAGTTAGACGACATTCATTCCTTCTATCCCAGAGCCGTATCTGCCTCACACATCCTGACAGCCCGTGACGGAGTGTGTCTGTGCACTGACCTCCGCAAATTACAGGAACACATTAGAACAAGTGCAATTTATTCTGCTCCCAAATATGTCCGAATGATCGATGAGTTACTGATACAGCCTCCGTGCAGATCCGACTCGGCGATAGCACTGGGAAACAATCATCACACGCAGGCTTCGACTTTGACTGAGCACAACTTTTTATTATCATACCAGCCCAGAGCCCAGAGTGCAGATCTCTGAGGTAAAGCAGGGTCAGAGCGCTTTGGTTTTCACCCAGGGTCATTTCAGTCAAACGCTGAACCGCAAGATGCAAACATTCACAGTGCATTCTTCTGTAGGCACTGTTTTTGCTTAAAACATGGCGTAGGACGTCCACAAAGCCAAAAAGTGGTAGTATTTTCTTAGTAAAAAAAAGTTTATAATAATAATAACAATGCATCAGTTTTATATAGTGCTTTTTTGGGCACATGCCATTATTAATTCACTCCAAACACTGTGGTGGTAAACTACTACTGTAGCCACAGCCACCCCACTGTGGCACCTGGTGTTCCCAGAGGTCTCCCATCACAGCACAAGCACCTTGAGATGTGTTCGCATACTGTATGTATGTGCGTATAATGCCTTCTTCTGCTTCTTCATGTTTTTCTTCTTCTGCTTCTTCTTCACCTTATTCTTCTTCTTCATCTTCTTCTTCTTCTGCTTCTCCTTCTTCTTCTTCTTCATCTTCTTCTGCTTCTCCTTCTTCTTCTTCTTCTTCTTGTTCTCCTTCTTCTTCTGCTTCTTCTTCACCTTCTTCTTCTTCTTCATCTTCTTCTGCTTCTCCTTCTTCTTCTTCTTCTTCTTCTTCTTCTTGTTCTCCTTCTTCTTCTGCTTCTTCTTCACCTTCTTCTTCTTCTTCATCTTCTTCTGCTTCTCCTTCTTCTTCTTCTTCTTCTTGTTCTCCTTCTTCTGCTTCTTGTTCTCCTTCTTCATCTTCTTCTTCTTCTGCTTCTTCTTCATCTTCTTCTTCTTCATCTTCTTCTTCTTCATCTTCTTCTGCTTCTCCTTCTTCTGCTTCTTCTTCTTCTTCATCTTCGTCTTCTGCTTCTCCTTCTTCTTCTTCTGCTTCTCCTTCTTCTTCTGCTTCTTCTTCTCCTTCTTCTTCTTCTTCTTCTCATTATTAATAGCAACACCCTGCCCCACCCTTTTTGGAGACTAAGAAATAGACACAAATGCTCTTTCCCATCCCTCCTCCAGTATTGTGAATTTCTTCTTGGACTCTTCGCCGCTCAGACAAACAGCCTCATTCCAAAGCCTTATCTCAGCTGATGCTTGGAGTGGGAACATTTACCAGGCTTGTCTCTGCTGCCCCGGGACAGCACTGTTTACTCACCCACACCAGCCTGCACCGGCCCGCACTGTTTACTCCACAGTCGATGGGTCAGGGTATGTGCACGGCATGTGAGGGGTGAGGAAGGGAATGCATGATATGTGAGGGGTGAGGAGGTGTAAAACTGCTCACATGCAGGAGTGATGGTGATGGACTGACTGTGGGACCAACATTTAATTTCCAAATTCAAATGATATTGTGTTTTAAAAATCCAATTCAATGTTTATTTTTTGTAATATTAATACTTTCGAACCAGTTTCAGAAGAACCTGCAAGAACCCATTAGTGTCTGCCGCAGATTCGAAGCTGATCCAAGTGCATGTACATCTTACACAACTGCACTTGGGCTTGAAAGTTTACACACCCAAACGGAAAAGTCGATTTTTATGCCAATATTTTGCAAATGATGAATGATAACGAATATTTTCGTTCATTCGCTGTTTGTGGTTGTGTGAATCCATGTGTTGTCCATGTAAGGAAAAAGGGTGCTGTGGCAGGAGCTCTCCGTGGTCTCTCTCTGGTCTCTCTCTCTGGTCTCTCTCTGGTCTCTCTCAGGTCTCTCTCTGGTCTCTCTCTCTGGTCTCTCTCTGGTCTCTCTCTGGTCTCTCTCTGGTCTCTCTCTCTGGTTTCTCTCTCTGATCTCTCTCAGGTCTCTCTCTGGTCTCTCTCTGGTCTCTCTCAGGTCTCTCTTTGGTCTCTCTCTCTGGTCTCTCTCTCTGATCTCTCTCAGCTCTCTCTCTGGTCTCTCTGGTCTCTCTCAGGTCTCTCTCTGGTCTCTCTGGTCTTTCTCTCCCTCTAGTTTCCCTTTAACATAACAGCTTGAAGTCCAGAAAACACATTTATTTGACAATGACTTCGTACCACCACAAACAATGAGGGAAAAGAAAGTTTTTGTGTTTCTTTCATGCATTATTTATATCCACACAGAATCAGGTGTGTAAACGCTCATGCTGTATCCAATGAGTTACAATGTTGCTGTATTTTACCTTTGTGTATTATTATTCTCACTGTTGTTATAAATCATTTTATAGAAATGAGCTTGTGGCGCCACCTGCATGTGAAAGCCTGGTTAGAACTAGTTCATTAGTCGAGTCTGGGGTCTGTGTGAATGGCTGGTGGTGGTCTGAGGGGCCGATGGCTTCTTCGCTTCTGTCAATATACTCCAGGGCAGTCACAGTTTATCACCACCGTGTGTGGAGTGAATGAATAATGACATGTGAAGCATCTCTTTGAGTGTCCAAAAATGCGCTGGGGCGGATTGGATTGCTATCTAAAACTGACATGGTTCCGGATCGTAGCTTTCACACAGCTTGCCCATGTCAGCCGCAGATCATGACATATTTATCAGACGGCTCTGTTTGCTTGTTCCATGAGAAAGTGGAGAGTTGTTGGCCGGGCTCCACCACCCCCTTTGCACCTAGAGGCACTTTTCCTCCATGCACCCTGCGTCATGTGGTCCAGGCTCCTTCCCATGGTGCTCGAGTTCCCCCCTGTCCCCGCGGGCCAGGCCAGGTTAGACCACGGCAACAGACTCACACACATCTGCTTCTCATGGCAGTGGGAAAGCCCCTCTTCCTGCGGATTAGAGGGAGTCCCCCGCAAGCAGACCACTGGCTCCTCTGAGGATCACTGGTGGAACCCTGTCCCGTTTACAAGGCCTTGTTTGGGGAGAGCGAGTTACTCCTGCATCGGATTGTCCTCAAATGACTTTTATGACGCATCAGTCTGATGGGTCCTAGAACAAGTCTACAACATCTAAAAACAATATAGCTTTGCATAGTGAAAGTGGGACTAGAAAAAAATGTAGTTCACTTGACAGAGTTCCATCAAATGAACCTGCATGTTAACAAAATTAGTCATTGCAATTATTCAATGGGCCATTGTGTAATAATTAAAAATAAATCAATCAAGATGTTTATTTCCAAACCACAATTTTACAGAACAAAAAAACACACATTTACAGAACTAAAGAGAATTGAAACGTGGTGGGATGAGGCAAACACTTATAAGCAAAACACTGGGACAAGACGATTTAGAACAAAAATGTCCAAAAGGACAAAATGAAACGATACAAACACAGACGCACAAACATAAACGGCCAAAAACTCTCTGACCCCACACCTCTCTCATTTACTACTTGCTCTGTGGTGGAGTAAATTTATTGAAAATGCATTTCTCTCCGGATGTACAAGTTAATTCCATCTTCTCTTTCCTTAGAAGCGCAGTTTAACGGTCACTAACTCTCTGGTTGGTCTTGTAACAACAGCAGCAGTGTTTGTGTGTGTGTGTGCGTGTGCGTGTGTGTGTGTGTGTGTGTGTGTGTGTGTGTGTGTGTGTGTGGGGGGGTGTGTAGTTTCTCCTGTTTCTGTGCCACCTCAGGCTGCTGCTCTGTTGTGTCTCTTGATTAGCTCTGTGTTTTCTCACAGGTTGTGGTGTGGGTTTATGTCTGCTCTGGGCTAATTTATCAGCACCTGTTCTTCTGCCAGAACCCACTGCATGTCCACAACACACATCCTGATTTTAGGCAGTGAAGGGAAAAGAATCAGTCTGATAAAGTGCTAAATATAAAACTTTTCTCAAATTAATTCAGGCAGGTGAAGGAAAGAGGAAGATTTTTTATTACCATTGTAAATAACAGGAAGTCACAAACTGGGAATTTGACTCAAGGTGCAAACAGTTGTAAAATAGATCCATGACAAATCTTCATAAAATGTCTTAGAATGACTATATACAAGTGTGCTAAGTATACACAATAGACATAGTGAGTAAGTAAGAGGTCGTGTTTGTGAAGAAATACATGCCTCCATCATCCTGTAAATTGTTCTTTTTAAATAATAGTAAATATTGTGTCAAATTGGCAGAAATTTAAACATGTCCAGGAACATGTTTAATTTTGTACTTGTCTTGTGCACACTGGGGACTTTTGCAAATGTATTCCTATGTGGTTTTACTGCAAATAGCAAATACAATGAATCTGAATCTAGAACAGTTGTTTTTATGTCTATTGAATGTGGTGATCTTAAAAACCTGAATTTCAGATACATGTTCTATACTCAATCAATCTGCACTTCAAGGCCACAGAGTTTTTTGTCTCTGTGGCATTATATTTTAGGTTCTCACTTTCACTCTCTTCATTGAATACAGATTAAATACATTCAATCAGTACAATAGGTGCTCACACTGCAGCTAATCTACAAAATAAAAATCCTTCTGCAACCAGAAAAGCAAGAAAGCAGCCAGTGTCTCCTCTGATTCCCCTGGATGCACTTTCCCGCCTTATATTTACAGTCCCCGCTTTGCCAATAAATCTAAATTGTTCTAGCATCTAACAGCCTCAGCTCATACCACAACCCTCCTCCTCCCCCTCACAGTAAGAGTGTTATCCATGTCATCAGGTCACCGCTCAGCTTTCACCACCAGGGTTTAGACCAGGGATTATCAAATGTTGGGTCCGGGATAAACTGGGAAATTAGAACAATGCTCATTCATGGTGATTTAAAAAGCGGCAAAAAATGGCTTTCACCTTTCTGTCAATAACTATTTTAGATTCTCTCCATTTCCAGTGAACTCACATGACATAATTAAGTTGTTGGTCTCCTCAATAAAACCTCTATGATACAAACGCAAATTCCCTGCGTAAAAATGGCGCGTCAAGAACAAGTATAGACACATATTAGAGAGCTGTGTGTATGAAAATGAAATTCAAGGAGGGAGCGTGGAATCCGGCGTTCTCACAACCTCAGCCTCGCCATCCTGTTTATGCCATTGTTTATATATGAGGGGAAATCAAACATCTCCCAAATGTTAAAAAAGGTATAGAAAATTAGACAAATTGGAGAACTGGCCTTAGAAGATGATATGCAATATTACAGTGGATCTGCCCATAGACTGTAAATATTAACTGACATAGTAGTTAATACTAATGGGCCATCACTTGTGGCTTCCATGAGGCTTTTTCAAAATGGCCGCGGGCAGCTCCTCCCGCAGGAAAATGTGAAAAAATGAATATGCGCATTTGTTAGCCAGCCCCAGCCCCAACAATTTAACGAGTGCCTTCTGAAGTTCAAAGCGGCTAAACGTATTTGAGCCGGGACCCGCCCCCACTGGATCTACCTCACAATTTTCTCAATCAATATCTGTTTGTGTGCCAACAGCAAGATTCTTGAAAAGGTTAAATGCTGTGAGATAATTAGAACAGAAGATTAGTCACAGTTTGAAGGCTGAGAGCTGATTGGCTGAGTGAGGAGGGTCCTTTCTTTTATAAATGTCTGTCTGAAAAAGCTGATACAAGGACGTGAGAGCTACCAAAACTATATCCAAGTTTTTAGTTTGTTGAAATGGTCTTCATGAAATCATTTTTTTTTGTATTTATGCATTTTGGCTCCTTCTTTCATTTCACCACATGACATACAGTTCCTAAATGGTACCCCAGCTTTAACCTTAACACGTATCATCATTACCTTGAAGTTTTTCCAAGTTGGTATTTTTATATTATCTGTTAAAAAATAAAAACAAAACAAAAAACAGGCTTTTTTCCCATCATATTTACTATCTCATCTGATTAATTTCCCAGTGGCCTTTGACATCACGGCTCGCTGTCTCTCCGCTCCATTTCCTCAGCGCTTGTTCTACACGCTCAGGCCGCGCTGCATAAATAAATCTTTGTGTGCATTTAGACGAGCTACAGTTTGTCTAAACACTGGCACACAAGCTGACCCGATGCTCGCTCGGCCCTCTCTACTCCTACTGCTGTACTTTTCCTCTCCGGGCGCCATGGCGATGAGAATGTTCATTTACTGCACTGCTGCAAAGTGACGTCAACAAGCCAAATTAAAGATAATAATAGTTTGATTTATTTAGACAGAAGAATGCAGTGTTATGGCTTATATCCAGTGCAGGCCCTATCCTTCAGGGGGCCCGAAGCAAAAGCTGCTTCGGTGGCCCTCTTTACTCATACTGTTTTTGATGGGTCACATTTCAACAGTTGAAAAACAAGTGGACAATGTTATTTCTTTTTTTGTGGATACAAAGTTTTTATTTGGATGTATACAATTAGTTTATGAAAAGGAGATTTTTAATGAAATTCACACATGTTATGTCAGATTTTCTGCCTGTACACTGCTTTAAACAGCTTAAATTATGTATAGATGTGGATTTTAAAGTGAAATGCAATGTATTCTTGTATAGCCCTAAATCACAACATTATAGTTATCTCAAAGGAAACAACCGTTGAATTTGCCAACACAGATAAGAGAATCAAAAGATTCAAACAGAAGAAATTACACAGAAAACACATTGGTATTGGTCCATAAGGGGCAGATTACTAATGTCCAGAAGTGTTGATAAATGTCCATAAATGTTTCTATAAATAGATAGATTCTTTATTGATCCCTGTAGGAGAAATTCAGGTGTCATGCAGCAGAAACACATCCATACAAACACATAAGTACATACATTAAAAAAACGTCTTATAGCCACAAGGAACAAAGGATCTCTTCATATTCATCAATCCAGCAAAGTGCTTGATATAAAACTTTTCTCATGGGGTTCACCACAATTCAAGGTGATGGCCGCACCGTATTATTATATTTGTAAAACCAGGTCCCTTTACTCCAAACCACAAAGTGAGTGAATGGGTAAATTAGTAATCCCAATCAAAATAATTGTTTTGCTATTATAATTAACAGGAAGTCACAAACTAGGAATGTGTTGCTTTATCCAGTTAAAATTATATGGATTTTAAAGTTTTCGTCTTTATATACGTACATAATAAAGTGTGAATTTTATTGAGGTGTATTAATATTGGCAATGGAGTCAGATTAGAGAATGTTTTTGTGTGGGAAAAAGCTTCTGGACTGCACGTAGCTATGGATCGTTTACTGCAGGAACATCTCGGATTTTCAAAGCTGTAGATGAGGCCTTAAGGAGCCTTTTAAACTAATGTCTTCTAACAACATTCTGTGCTGAAAAAATAAACAGCGATAGGACTGGGGTGGAATAATTCTGGCTGGCTGTTTGAATTCGTGTTTACATAAGGGTCTCCCACTTCTAGGAATAAATCTCACGGGCTATCCATTCAATCTGACTATTAAAAGCCATATTCCATTAGCCTGCGACCTCCGCGGCTCTCTCAACAACATGTCAGAGGTTGAATAATGTCGAGGGTTTGTTTACAGACGGACATAACCTCAGCCGACCTACGGGACACCTGCCTGTTGATCTGCTGGATAATGATGCATTAAAGAGATAGATTTAATTCTATTTATGTATGTGTTTTAATGAATGAAGATTATGCACTGTCTAAAGTTTTCTCCCAGTCACAAAAGAGCAGATATCTTTGTCATCGGAACAAGGAAGCGATCCAAAAAGCATCTTGATGAAAGCAATTGTGATGCTGTATTATATGCACCATCTGTTTGCTGATCCATGTTCTGTGTCGAACTTACACAGTGATAAATCCAAACCGTTTTATAACCGGTCGCCTGAATGTGACTCCCGGGAAATGTTATAAAACTGCACACAAGTCATAGGAACAATACTTA